ATGTAACATAATAAATGCATGACTTTCTATGGGGGCGAAAAATCGATTACTATTATTATTACTATGAAATTTAAAAAATTTGCCCGGATCGGCATTAATTAAATCCTTTCCTTAACTGGTGGATCACGAATTAATTGTATATAACAATTATGATCTAAATCAATAAAAAAAAAATTTTTTTTTAAAAATTCATTTTAAAATCTTTTTTTTATTTTTAAAAAATGTCAACTTTCAAAAGAATCGACCAAGAATTAAAAGATGTAAAGGAGAGGTTGAAGGAAGGAGAAGAAGGAGAAGATGATGGAAAGTGGTTGAAGAAGTTGAAGAAGAAGCTGAGGATGTTGAATAGTGAGATAAGAAGAGAAAAAGATGAAGAAAAAGAGAAAATTTTGGAGGGGGATAGTAAAGATTTGGAAGAGGAGATAGGTGAATTGGAGGAAGAGAAAGAAAGGTTGGAGAGTGAGAAGAAGAGGTGGTGATGAAGTTGCATGATGCATTGGTTAATTTCAGTAGAGGAGGGGAAGGTAATGAACAAATTGTGTAAAAAAAAATTATTCAATTCTGTTTTATTATTTATCATTTTTCCTCTTTATTATTGCAGCAGGTAAAATGCAAAATTATATAATTTCTTAGAGAATGAATTTTTTTTTTATCCATTCATTTATTCACTTTATTTTCTGTTCATTTACTTTCAATTGCTACTTTTGATTGACATCACAGAAGGTGTTGAGAAAGATCAAGGTAAACACCATTTGCACACTCTTAATAATTTATGTCCATTTACTTTTGCATACATTAAATTTTCTTATGTCTTACAGAAAGTGTGCAAGTAGGACTAAAACGTAAAAATGAAAGTAAGTTTATTATTTACTACAGACTATGAAAAAATCATTTTCAGTATCAACTTTATATTATTTAACAACACTCTCTTTATAGGTCAGAAAGAGAATTTAACAAAAGTTTAGAATGGGTCCTCCCTCATCAGTTGCTGCATGCACTGAATTTTTTAAACAACAAAGACAAGAGATTATTTTGAATGGTCATCTGCCTAATTGTATTGGACCACCAATTTTCTTATATCATGAGGTTTTTTCAAAATTTTCTTCTGATTTCAATAATGAAAGTCTTGATTTATCAGATGGACTTTGTGCATGGTCAAGTAAATTAATTAAGGATATGGCTAATGAACACATCAATGAAGATTCATGTAAGAATGCATTTATCAATCATATTACTGAATTTATTGGTAAGCTTATTGAGGTAAAAATTGAGGATGGAAGTAGCAATGATGGGATGTTATTGGTAGAAACTGCTTGTGGTGAAAATGGATTACAAATTATTCATGAAATTAAAAATGAAATTGGTGAAGGAGGAAGATCCAACAATTCAAGCAACTCTTTCATATTCAAAGTATTGGGCCCAAGAACAGGTATATTTCCTATATATTGACAATATCCATAATGCATTTTCTTTCACTAATCATTAATTAATTATTTCTAATATAGCATGATAAAATCTGAGCTGTGTGCAATTGTCCATCAATACTTCTTGCTGTCACAGGTCATGGATCTGTATTTATACTTCTAATCCAGTGATTAGTCCTCTTACTGATTTCATTCCAATGATACCTATATAGTCTTGATGAAAAATGCTATCAACGTATTGCATGTCTTTTTCAAGCATTATACAATGCAGAATGGTGTTTAAAAAAAATTTATCAGACACTTGATGTATCCAAACATGTAAATATTGAGAATCCTCAACATTTTTACCCATATCCTCATTAAGGTTTCTGGCCAAAACTGCTTCTATTAGTAGCCTAAATTGCCCAAATAATTTGGGCAAAATTAATTTTTTTATAAGCCCAAACTACTTTTTGTTATTAGCTGAAATTGAATGAAATTATTTTAAAGTTGTTCAAGTTAAAACAAGTTGATTCATATAGTTTTTTAATGCTCATGCTTATAGAAAATGTTGAGAAGCCCAAATTGCTCAAACTAGTTTGGGCTATGAGAAAACAGTTTGGACCAGAAACCTTAATCTTAATAGGTTTTTGATTTTCTGTAACAGTAGGGAACATGACCCTTCAAATGTTGTTAATTGATTCATGTAATATACATCAATTTTCCTTCTGAGGATTTTTGCTTTTTGTTGGGTAATAGCACATCTTCATGCTGCTTTCTTTTTCTAACATTTATTAGTTTTCTTTCTTGGTAAAGTTCATAGGTAATCTTAGATGAGCTTCAAGTGTCTTAGTATCATTTATTTTGAAAATATAAGGAGCAGTTTTTTCACCTTGTTCTTTTTTTAAAATACTTCTGATAGTGCTATAATTCCATAGTAGATCTGATGTAAATGAGTTTCATATTAACTATTTTTGTCTAGAAATGATCCTAAACAAAAAAGCAAATACATTATCACATTGCATTGGTAATACAATTGTGATGTTAAACAAACATTGAAATCCTTGGTAACACCAATGTTCACTTTGTTGCAGTATGCCCCCATATATGCAAGCATTACATATTTAATATAATCAAAAAAATTTTTTTTCAATTGTTTCGATAGGAAAATTTTTAATTTAAAAAAATGACAGAACCATCAACAGAACCATCACGTGCATTTACAGAAACAACAATTTTGGTTCTTTTAATTTTCTTTATAGTTTTCCTTAGAGGATTAGCATCATATTTAAATAGTCAATCACAAGCAGTCTTATTGAGTACATCTAAAAATGTAGCCATCTTTGTGTTGGGAGATATCGGAAGATCCCCCAGAATGCAATATCATGCATTAAGCTTTGCACAAAATGGCTGGAATGTAGATTTCATAGGATACAATGGTTTTAATAGTGATCTTTATAACTAATTATAATTTATTTTTAATTAAAATTATTAATAATTGTTATTGTTCAATCAGGTGCAAGCCCACTTATTTCTATTACAGAGGATCCAAAGATTAAAATTCATTATTTAACACATCCATGGCACTTTCCTGATAAACTCCCAAAATTATTATTTTTTATCTATGCACCATTCAAAGTATATTTTCAAATTTTACTTGCATATTGGGTATTTCTTGTTAGAATAAAAAGACCCGACTTTGTGTTGGTTCAGGTAATGATTCTATTAAAGTTTCAATACTAAAAAAAAAATAATATTAATTTGTAGTTTTTAAAAATAAATTTTACCAATTTTTTAAATTCTCCCTTTTTTTGTCTGATTTAGAATCCTCCTTCAATACCAACATTAATGATTATTCAATTTATCTGTTGGATAAGAAGCACAAATTTAATCATTGATTGGCATAACTTTGGTTTCACAATATTAGGTATAAGATTAGGTCAAAATAGTCGAATTGTAAAATTTGCAAAATGGTTTGTTTGATGTTAAGTTTGATGAATGATGGGTGTATTTATTTTCATTAATAAAATTAATTATTTTAAACATATATAATTTTTATGGTTAATTTAGGTATGAACAATTTTATGGTCGACGAGCATATGCACATTTGACTGTTACTGGAGCTTTACATCGTGAATTAATGTATAAATGGAATGTTGAGTAAGGCTTGTAATGAGTTTTTTTTCTTTTTAAATATTATAAATGAATAATTTGATCAATAACACCTGACTTGAAAAAAAATATATACACATACATACATATGATCTTTAAGAGGAAATATATCAACTTTATATGATCGTCCACCCTCACACTTTAAAAGATTAAGTCTTGATGAAATTCATGAGGTTTTTTATTTTTGTTTCCTAGAATTTTTTTGATAAATAAGATTAACTCAATTAACTCGTACACTTTCATGTATATTTTTAATAAGTTTTTTACTAGATTTGATTTAGAAAAAATAATTTCTGAACAATCAATAGGTTCAGATTTTCTTCCACCATCATCCAGCAATTCAACATTTTTAACAATGAAAAACCTATCAACCAACCAAGTAACATTTCGCAATGATAGGCCAATATTGATTGTTAGTAGTACCAGCTGGACTGCTGATGAGGATTTTTCTATGTTATTAAAAGCTGCTCATATATATGATGAAACAGTTGAAAAATGTAAACACCAGTCTGAATCAAGCAGAGTATTTCCAAAATTGGTTTTTGTTATTACAGGAAAAGGGCCTTTAAAAGATAAATATGAAGAAGAAATAAGTAAAATGTTATCTAAAAATATAAGAATTGTTACTGCATGGTTGTCATTTGAAGACTATCCTATGTTACTAGGTAATTGAAGGAATTAAACATGCATATATTATATGCAAATCATTTTTTAATATTGTAACTTTTTTTTTGGTACATGTGCATGCACACATATATATTATAGGAAGCGCTGACTTAGGAATATGTCTACATACTTCATCTTCTGGAATGGATTTACCAATGAAGGTGGTTGATATGTTTGGTTGTGGTTTGCCTGTATGTGCATTTGATTATAAATGGTAAATCTGCATTTATCAACAAACAATTATATTTATTTTGGCTTAACAATAATAAAAATCTGACATTTGTTATTAAATTAATAGTCTTGATGAGCTTGTAAGACATAATAGAAATGGGTTAGTATTTAAAAATGGAGAACAATTAGCTGAACAATTAATAGTAAGTAATTATTATTATTCTATGTATTTTTTTATAAATCAAGGAATGGAATTAAATATAAAAATAATTTTAAATAGGACTTATTTACAAATTATCCCAACACTGAAATAAAGCTTGATGCTATGAGAAAAAATATCATTGAATTTCAAAAAGAAAGATGGGATGATAATTGGAAAAGAGTTGTATTACCATTATTATCTAACAATATTTAATTGGTATCATATCATATTTATACTCTTATTTTGTCTGCATTTAACAACAATCAAAAATAAAAAGATGATTATTGAAAATTTTTATAAAATAGCATTTGCTGAACATAGATTTCATTAAAACCATCAATTATCTCATTTCCAGATGTCCAATTATCAAAAAGGTTCTTTAAGTGTAAACTAATACACTTTTCACAAAACCTATTAGAGTATTTTATTGCTTTGTACTTGTCACATTCTTTTGATTCTCCCAATTTATATATTGCACTTTTTAATTCAAACTCATGAGTAAACATTTCTCTACAATATTCTTTTTCATTTTCTAAAAGTTCTCTGACTTCATTTACTAATTGAAAAAAAAATGTCTTTTTCTATTTTCTCTGGTAGGGATAGTTGAAAATGCAGAAAATGCATTACTATTTATTTCACTATAAATTTTAAATACTAATTTGCTTCTATCTAATGCTAATAAATTACCACCAAATCTAAAACTCCTATAAAATAATAAAAATAAATTTAAGTATATTATTATTTAATAAAATTAATTAAAAAAAAATTTTTTACTCACCCAATCTGCATCAACATCTGATGCCCATTGGAATTTCTCCTGAAGGCCTTTGTTAAAAACCTTATGAATTGGTACATTATATTTTTTAACCATGCAAATGAAATGCGTGGGTCTATATAATTGCTTTTTGATGTACCCAGTGCAATTTCAGTGGTTTTGATATGAGCCTTGCTGACGGAATGTTGATGGTTACATAAAATAGCAACTTGTCTGTTTGCTTCATTATATGCTACCATTTTCTCTGTTAGAGTAGTATCATTCTCCATCCTTTTCTTTAGCTCAATTTGGAAGGTATGACATGCATTGTATGTACGAAATACTTTGGTGGTTAGTCCCTCCATGTATTCAGACAAATGTTTATTCAAATCTTGAGTCTAAATGAATTTTTAAAGAAAATTTGAATTTATTAATAGAACAAACACAAACACACACACATATATGTGATTGATTAAATTTAAATCTTACCCATAATCTGTCAAATAATGCTTCACCAGATTCCTTATCCTTCATAAATATTCCAAGGTTTTCAAAAACTTGTTCTATTACTTCTACTTAGTTTACGTATCTTATTGAATCTTTACCTAAGAAATCAAACTTGACTGTCCTTGGTGGCACCAGAGTAATATCTTCATATCTGAGGGAACAACAACCCACGGTATTTGCTTCTTCATCAGTTTTCTCATTTTCTGCTCTTAATGCAAGCTTGTCAATAAGATATGTGGCAGTAGCATGTTGACAAACAAATCTGTCTTTATTTTTTAAATCCTCTATGTAATCATGGCGAATTTTTTCTAGATGCTTATCAAGTTTCCTAGCTTTATCAAATTTTTCCAAATCACTTTGACCTTTAAGTGAGCTATTGGCTGCTAAAATCACATATTTATTTTTGTTATTTACATTATCCTTCCAGTTGGCAAGCCAGGTAACTTTGTTATCATGTTGAATACCACCCCAGGAGTGGCCAGCAGGCAGAGGAGGGACAGGTGCATCTTTACTGAGATTAATTTTTATTTGCTCAGGGGTGACTCTATACTTCAATGAACCGGTTTTAGGATGATCACCACGACCTCTAAACAAACCAGGTGGCTCAATTCTAAAATTACTGACTTTTTCTTTAC